ATTAGGGTTACTGTAAGACTGCAGCACTGAGAGAGAAACAGGGATAGAAATCCTAGGAACTAATTGCTTACAAGACATTTGAACTTCTAGTTCCCTCACTCCTCAGACAGGAAACCCGGTTGATCTATATACCAGAGACAGTCTGCGTTTCCAGATTATTGCTTTTCATCTGTAACATGAGACGTTCTGGGGTCAATTAATGTATTTTTGAAGCCTAGAGCGAGGTCTTTATTATCTGTATCCCCTTTTCTCCTTTAGAAAGTGGAGTATAGCGAATCTGCAAGCATCCTGGCTTGCAGGGCTGTCCCTTCCGCCTTCTTCTCTTTCTCCTTAAACATCAGTGAGGGGAGGCAGAGCCTGCAGGGAGAGGTCCCCTGGGCTGGCCAAGGCAGTCACTGGAGTGGGTGCAGCTTCTGTCTCCCACCTCCTGCGGGCTATTTTTAAAGCATTGTCCTTCCCTCTGAGCAAAGTCCCAGTAATCTGAGGAATGCTCAGCATTTGAGTCAAGGATTAACAGATTTTAATTTACAAAGATGTATTCTGGTTTCTGTCAGAAGCATGAAGGAGAGGAGGAACGGGAAGCATTCTGCTGCTGGAAGTTTTCTTTCCCTTTTCCCCAGAGCCAGTCTGTGCACACGGGCCTCCCTCAGCCCACTGGCTGCCGGAGCTCAGGGAGCGGGGGCCCAGTGGGGCTCCGGGAGGGACGGGACAGGGTGCAGGCTGCTGGCCTGCTGTCTCCTGCTGCCTAGTCGTTCAGGTCAGCAGCAGCCAGCAGCACGGGCTGTTTAAGGTCTGGCACTGAAAAGAATTAACTTTTCTTGCAGTCCTGGTTTCCCAAACCATGCCACCTTAAGAAGAGAGGCTTCCTTTGTGTTTTGTTTCACCCCCTGGGCCCTCAAATAGTTCAAGAAGTGGGCTTGGTTTCTGAGTTCCTCTCCCAAGCCACTTGGAGAGTATCTGCTGAAGCCATTTCAGTGAAAGCCAAAGGGATCGGGCAGGAATCATGGCCCTGCGCCCAGACGTAAGAACGGTGACGTGTCTGCTTTCCTTGGTCCACATTCAGGGCATATTCTTTACTGTTGTCCAGGGCAGGCGGACAGAAGAGATTGACAGCTTTGGAAACACCCTCAGAGTGAAGCGTGGCTTTGAGTCCACGTGTCCAGAGCCTGGGGATATTGGAGCTTGCATGCTGTGTGAGCCCTAACTGCCTTCTCGGGGTTCCTTTCTCTTCAGAGGCTTCTGTCCTTGTCCTCCTTCTCTGTCTTTGTTTAGGTACTAACACAGGTCACTGAAAAGGTTTCCCAGTGGTTTTATAAATCTAGGAAATTGAAACACCTAATAGGCAGGAAGCTGGAGATGAAGGTGTCTATGTTCCGGTGAGATAAAGATTACAATGTGTTTTTATTCTCTTGATTTTTTTTTTTTTTTTACCTGCTTAAGACTAACATCTAATATTCAAAGCACAACCAGTCTTTTGATTCCCTGGGGGTGGGTAACACTTGGGATCATGAATGTTAGTGTTAATTTCTAGTTGTAATAGGCTGGTTGGTTTAAGGTTATTATGATCATGGGAAAGACTAAGGTAAATTTTTAACTCTAACTTTAGCTTGTTGTTTGTTTTGTTTTGTTTTGTTTTTGTCCTGAGTTGCTCTGTTCTTGGAGATAAAGCATCATTCATTTTCTGGTGCTTTTCTCCCTCCTCCCTTTCCTCCCTCCCCCCATCCCCCACCTTCATAACCACTTAGCTTCTTCCTTCTCTGTATGCTTTCAGCTCTATTTCTGTTCCCATCAAGTTAGTCCCCTGTGTCTCTATTGCTTCATGCACACAGCTTACTTTAACCTAAAAGCTGGCTCTTCAAGACAGTACCCATCCTTCCCTCTTTCCATCCCAACATTCTTCACAAATTCCTACAACATACAGTCCATTTGTGTGGAGTTTTTGTTTTTGTATTAATCCTCACCAGAGGATATTTCTCACACTGATTTCTAGAGAGAGTGAAAGGAATAAGAAGAAGTGCAGGGAGAGAAACATCCATGTGAGAGAGATGCATTGATTGGTTGACTCTACCCGAGCCAGGAACTTCGACACTCTATGATAAGTAATACACAGAATTATGGGTGATGGCTGAGGAGCCCAGGAACAAAAACTTGACTACGGGCTCATTTGCAAAGGCAGTGATTTCCCTGAAATACATGAAACCAGAGTTAGTCTTTGGAAGTTGCGAAATGAGAGTGATGATCACTATGCAAAAGTATGTCTGAACTGAATTAACATAATAAGGGGGATGAGGAATTATATGGACCTGCATTTCTACCCCAGATCTGCCACTTTCCAAGTGTGTGACTTTAGGTCACCAAACATCTCTGAATCTGTTTGTAGAAGAGCAACCTCCTTGTAGAATGTCTCTGAGTGTCATTAAAAAATGCATTTAAATTGCATGGCCTGTACAAAATGAAAACGGTATCTATACTAGTAGTTATTCTGCTGGTCTAAGACGTAGGCCACTGGGTCACTATGTTCACATTATTACATTTAATTTTTCCAGGCCTTCATTTTTCCCCTTTCTTTCCCACTCTGACTACAAAAAAGAGTCAAGATTCTGCCAAGAATGTATTGGTTATTACAGATTCTGAGCTCCTTTGGTTACTATATAAGATTTGTTGGCTACTTAGAAAGTGCTGATGAGTCTAAAGTAAGCCTTAGCTGGTTTTGCTTCTATTATATACTAGTTTGGATGTCTTTTATTTTGACTTGTCCATTTACCATGGGTGAATGCTCATTTTCAATAGAAAAATATTATAGTCCTGGTACCAAGACTTAATTCTGTTATCAGGGTTACTGTAGCAGAAGAATAAGTAAAAGCAAATTCTCTGTATGGCTCAGCAAGTAATCTATAAGAAAGGAGGAATAGTGAACTCTGAAAAATAACTGAGAACAGAGAATTGGAGCAATAAGCAAAATGCTTTTAAACTTCTGGTTTCTTGTCAGCAAACCAATGATTTTTTCCCCCCAAGTTTTTATAGAAATCATTGCCACAACCTGAGAACTATTAATGAAATTCCCTTTTACTTTGGAAGTTATTAATATATTTCCTATAATTGAGGAGGAGGTGAAATAATTTGCTTCAATTAACTCATTAATTCTACAAATATTTACAGAACACTTAATCCTTTCTCACTTCAGTATTAAGTCTCAGGGATAGAAGCCAGAGAGTTTGCCTGTGTGTCTTAGTCAGTTCAGGCTGCTATAACAAAATGACAGAGAATGGGCAGCTTGTAAACCTCAGATATCTATTTCTCACAGTTCTGGAGGCTGGAACTCCCACACCAGGCCAAGATTATGGCTGCATTTTGGTAAGAGCCTTCCTCCAGGTGGCCAACTTTCAGCCTCTTGCTACATTCTCACCTGACAGGAAGGCACTAATCCCATTCATGAGAGCTCTGCCCTCATGACCTGATCAGTCCCGAAAAGTCCCCACCTCCTAATACCAACATCTCAGGCCTTGGGTTTTCAACATAGGAATTTTCAACAGACACAGTCAGATCAGAGCAACATGATAGAATGGAAAGTGAATCTTGGAGACATTCAGATCTAATACCACCCCATTGTATCATAAAGATTACCTAAGCCCTTCTGAGGTTCATAAGATAGATATGTAGTATACAACTGTTTTTTTTCAATATTATTTATAATAATAATAAATGTAAACTAATTATCTTACTATAATAATTGTGAAAACACATTTCTCTTCTGACTACTGAGGGACTAGTTCAGTACAGAGAGTCATCTGAGGAAATCCTTACACAGCAATGTGTTAAGAAATCAAAGAAGAAATTTATCAAGCTTTGCCTCCAGGGTCGGGGTGAGGGAATGTTGATAAAGACTTAATTAACACAGGAGATGATAAGAGTTGAATCTTGCAGGATAACTTTTTCTAGGCTAACTTGTGATTGCAGGTCTTTCCTTCTAGAAGAAAGCAATAGATAGTTCCGTATAGTTAGCATATTGTTCGTGAAGAAGCCCTGGAAATGAGGGTGGCTATGGCACAGTGCCTGGCACACAATGGCTGTCACCTAAACATTGTTCATGGAAAAAGATGTGGAAAAAGATTGAGGTCACGTTGTGGGGACTTTGTATTTCATGCAAAGGAGTTTGGTTGGCCAGCGGGCAGGCACCATTGGAAGAAATGCAAAAAAAAAAGACTGGCAGGCTCTGATTTAAATACTATGAAGATCACTGTGGCAGCACGGATCTGGGACTCTTCAAAAAGTTTCATTTGGGAAATATTGAGGATCTAGCCCTTGTAGTAGTAATGACTCTAAAAAGGACTGACCTGGTGAGTGAATGAGGGTAGTGAAGGAGGAAGGAATCTAGTGTGGCTTTCAGATGGCACTTCCGTGATTTGAGGGTGGATAGCTGGAACTGATAACTAAAATCAGAACTATAGGAAGAAGAACGTGTTTTGAAGAAAAGATGAGTTAGCCAGTTTTAGACATTTTGAGCTTGAGATATCCATGTTGAGGGTTCTAATGGGCACAAAAACGATATGCTATTTTACTCATTTTTGCAATTTAAAATAATTCACCACCCATCACTGGGGTATTACATAATTTGAACATGCAACAGTCATTTTTCTTTTTCTTTCTTTTGTTTAAAATATATTTTATTGATTTTTTACAGAGAGGAAGAGAGAGAGGGATAGAGAGTTAGAAACATCGATCAGCTGCCTCTTGCACACCCCCTACTGGGGATGTGCCCGCAACCAAAGTACATGCCCTTGACGGGAATCGAACCTGGGACCCTTCAGTCCACAGGCCGACGCTCTGTGGCAACAGTTATTTTTCTTGAACTTGATTCTGTAGTAATGAGAGGTACCAAATGTGAAATGCTTGCTAGCATTCCGATCTTTCTTTTTCCTTTACATTGAGTTTTAACAGAAAGCATCAGGGTGGGAAGAGATACGTTTCTTAAATGCATTATGATTTTTTTATTTTTTCAGGCATCTTTGGGCAGAAATTGGAGGAGACTGTCCGTTATGAGAAGAGATATGGGAACCGCCTGGCTCCCATGCTGGTGGAGCAGTGTGTGGACTTCATCCGGCAGCGGGGGCTGAAGGAGGAGGGTCTGTTCCGGCTGCCAGGCCAGGCTAACCTGGTCAAGGAGCTCCAGGATGCCTTCGACTGTGGAGAGAAGCCATCATTTGACAGGTAGCTTTTAAGATTTTTATTCACCAGGCTTTCCTGGGAAATTCAATCTGAACTGAAAGGATGCAGTGAGCTGAGACATTGTCATTGATGCTGTAATAGTCATTGATGTTAATTACATGGTCACACAATTATGGGTTGTTTTTATTAAGTTGAAGAGTCAAAGATTTGGTGCTTCAGATGTCTTTTCTCTTCTATGCTTTTTTTACCCCCTAAAAAAAAGTTGTTTGTTTGTTTTTTAATATGTTTTTATTGATTTTAGAAAGGCGGGTAAGGGAGAGGGAGAGAGAGAGAAACATCAATGTGAATGAAACATAGATGGGCTGTCTCCAGTAAGCACCCTAGACCTGGGAGTAAACCCACAACCTGGGAATGTGCCCTGACTGGGAACTGAAGCAGCAACCTTTTGGTGCATGGGATGATGTCCAGCCAACTAAGCCACACTGGACAGGGCCCCCCTTAAAAACATTTTTATTGATTATTTTTCTTTGGTTCTAAATTGAAATTGTATTTAACATAGGAAAAGTGAACTTTTAAAAAATATATATATTTTTATTGATTTCAGTGAGGATGGAGAGGAAGAGTGAGATAAAAACATCAATGATGAGAGAGAATCATTGATTGGCTGCCTCCGGTACGCTCCCTATTAGGGATCAAGCCCGCAAACCAGGCATGTGCTTTGACTGGAATCAAGCCTGGGACCCTTCAGTCTGGAGGCTGATGCTCTATCCACAGAGTCAAACTAGCTAAGATGGAAAAGTGAACTTTTAAAGTACAAGTCTTCCCTTGTTTGATTTTTAAGTTGTTTACCTAAGATAAGGGATATTAAAAATATTGATAAGATTAGGATATTGGAAATGTAATTAAAAATAAATATTTGTTATGATGATAGTAAGAAGCATTAGATTTTAAATAGATGCCTCTATCTTAACCCAAAATAAATTTACAAAGAAACAAGAAGTAGAGCATGGTGAAAGTTATGAAATAATGCAATTTCCAGAGGAGAAAGTATACAGCAAGTTAAAAATTAAACATTGTTATTATTTTGTGAATTACCTCCTTTCTCTAATTTAGTAGAAAAAGAAATAATTTTATCAATATTATTAATTTAACATTGTGTAACAAAGATTTTTCCATATTAAAAATTGGAAGTGGGGTTATTTCAATATATTTTAATATATTTTACCTTATATTTTATTTCAATGTATTTTAACTTAGTATTTTATCAATATATTTTCCACTTATGTTAATGTCATGAGATACATTCTTTGATTTGCAAGAGTGAAAGTGACTTTATATTCCTATGACAATCTATATTTGGTTGTGATATATTTTCCTTGTTATATATTACTATATCTGACTTGCAAATAATATATTAAGGATTTTTGGATCTATATTGACCAAATATCTTTTGTAATGTTTTTGACTAGTTTTGTTACCAGAGGAATTCTGGCCTCAAAATTAGCTGGAAAGTGTCCTTTCTCCTTCTGTTTTCTGAAAAGTTATAAGTTTGTATTATTTGTCCCATAAAACTTTGATCAAATTTATTAATGATATTATCTACTCTGATGTTATCTTAGATATGGCTCTTCTAACTTTTTCTTGTACCATTTCATTTATATCTGTCATGAAACTTGTCCATTCCGTATAACTTTTCAAATTCAATGTCATCTTACTTTTTGTGTAATGTCTGTAGATATCCCCTGTTTTACTTCTGATGTTATCAATTTGTGACTTTTCTTAATCAGTCTCCCTAGTGTGTTATTAATGTACTAGAGGCCCAGTGCACAAAATTTGTGCAATGGGGGTGGGTGTCCCTCAGCCAAGCCTGCACCCTCTCCAATCTGGGACCCCTTAGAGGGTGTCTGACTGCCCTCTCACAAATCCAGGACTGCTGGCTCTCAATCACTCACCTGCCTTGCTGCCTGATTGCCCCTAATAACTCCCCTGCCAGCCTGATGAACATCTAACTGCTCCGCTGCTGCCCAATCTACCCCAACTGCCCTCCTCTGCCAGCCCAGTTGCCCCTAACTGCCCTCCCCTGCAGGCCTGGTGGAGATACACATCCTCTTTCCTGAGGATATAACATTTGGGTGCAGCTTCAATGGTAAGACTTAAGCTACCATGGCAGTACATTGCAGGCAGAAGCGAAAGTACAAAGGCCCTGGAGTGGCATAGCTCCACTGCGGCTGAAATACAATGAGTGATGAGTAGAGTCCTCAGAGATGAGATTGAAGATGTTGATCCTGTGTAGTCCAATAGTTTAATAAGACACTTAGTTTTTATTCTACGTGAAATGGAAATCTATTGATAGATTTTTAACAAGTAAATGAAGTCATTTTATTTACATGTTTAAAAGGGTCGCTCTGTAAAGGAGAACTAAATAAGAAAAGACTCTCCTTTCATTTTTGTCACCCAGAGCTAAAACTACAAGAACTGAGGATAAAATCCAAATATTATAACAAGAAATACTTCTATTACTCTTATCATTGTGGAAATTGTAAGTGTTTTAGGAGCTCTGGCAAGAAGCCAGGGATGAAAACCAAAATATATACATATTTCTTATCATATCACAATATTATATTTTGACAACCTAAATGTTCTTGTTTTGATAAATAGATTGTCAAGTTTTAGTAGTCATAGGGAGGCAGATATGCAAGTTACCAGATTCTGTTTGTTAAATTAAAAGGATTCCATGATCCATGAACAGTGAGATAAAAAAAAGAAGAGAGTAACATATTTGTGTCAAAATGCAATTGCATACTACACTGGTAGGGAAATAAACAATCTATAACTTCCCAAGGAAAGTGATTGCTTTCAGAACCATATTCAAATAGAGTATTTCACATTTTTAGTTACTTGGCTGAGTTTGAAATTTTGCATGACCAAGTTCTAGCTCAGGTTTTTGTTTTCGGAATGTACATTTGCTAGTTCAAGTTAATCTCATCAGTGTGCAAAATCAGAATGATTAAAAAACCAATACTTTAAAAAAACAGACTATTAGAATTTAAAGCAAAGTACAACAGTTTTTTATTATGAAATATGTTAATGAGCAAGATTAAATAAATATCTTTCTTCTTTATTTGAATAATACTTATATCTCATTAAATAGTCAACAGGAGTTAGCGTTCATCTTTATACTTATTATAATTTGAAAAAATAATTCTCACAGGAATTCTGCAATGGTAATATCTCATTTTAATAGTGAGGATTACTATTATTATAGCACTAATAATAAGACCTAAAATTGGATTTTTAAAGTGAACTTTAAAAATAAAATTATAAAACTATAACATATAAAATGTTATTAAAATGTAATTAAATGTTATTAAAATCATTTTAAATTATAACATTTTGTATATGATTTATAATCTATATATCTAAAAGCTAAGTGACCAGTACGCCAGAATGACCAGAACGACTGGAATGACCAGTTGCTTTGACTTGCACTGCAGCCCTGATCTGCTCCCCCTCCACCCGGATCATAGGCAGGGCTGGCCAGCCAACCTCCCACGCCCCCTCCCCTTACTGGCCCAGCCCCAATCAGCCCCAGTTGGGGAAGGCTGGCTGGACCACACCCATGCACGAATTCATATAGAAATATGTAAGAATGAAAGGTGAATATTTCAAAATTAAACAACCCAGAGAGCTCTTACTATATAATAACATAAATAGACATTTATAGACTTGGGCATATAGCTATATTAATATTATATATATATATATATGAATCACAATTTTTACATTTTGCCTTTTCTTGTTAACATATATCATGAACAACTTTTTATTCTACTAAGTAGTTTTCAAAACCATGATTCAAGGACTGTGTAATAATTTATCATATTAGTACCTCAATTTGTTTGATTCCCCTTCTGTTGTTTTCAATGTTTAGTACACATCAGACCTATGCTGACAAGCGTCTCTATTGATAAATTGGCCTGTGGTTTTGAAACTATAGATGCATTTGGAAGATAATATTTTTGTCCTGTGGAAGAAAAAAAAAGATAGTAGTGAAAAAGAAACTTGGAACATACACTATTTGAATTTAGAGAGGTTGTAAGTGCATGGGCCAGCTTTTAATAAACCATGCACTTTCTCTTCTTTAATTATATCAAATGTTATTTTTACGGTTATGAGGTCCAAGTTTAAGACTCATGTATGCATGGCTTACTGTGTTTTACAGTTAGATGACATATTCCCACAGTTTCCTTGACCAAAATGAATTTTGTGAAAAAGGACATTCACATTGACTTTTGTATTTTATCAGTTTATGTCAACTATTTAAAAACAACAGAAAAATTGTTTCTATCCACTCTTTCCTTCATTTCTTCTTTCTATTTAGGAATAAAAAAATTAAAACTCAACATTTTTTAAATTCAGCTTCCCCCCTTTGAGGGAGCACAATGAAAAGCAGAATGTGTAAAATCGAATTAGAAGCCAAGTGTTATCTTGTTCCCAGAGCTCTCCACATGGCATCAGCTGTTAAAGAAGATTCATTTTGGAAGAGTTGGGAACATAGAGTCACGAATGGCCTTGTGGGTATCACTCTCACAGTATTAATTGCTCAGCAACAAAATAACTGCGTGCTTACAACACAGCGTCCAAGAGCAAGGACAGCAGGCTGGGTGAAGCCAGTGATTTTACACGTTCTGTCTAAGAATCCCATAAAACAGCTGCTGTCCCAGTGCCCCAGCTGCCCTGCCACACACCCAGTCCATTCTGTTCTCCTCAGCATCTCCCTTTTTGTTTATGTTTTATTTGTTTGGGTGACTTAATTAGGGCCACTAAACAAACTGTAAGTCTACAGAAATAAAATGGGGGGTGAGGGGGGGGTCCAAATTTGAAAATTTAGAAATCAGAAAAGCCAGACACATTGTAGTTTTAATCTCTGGGCAGCAATATAAGATTGAGCATTACTGAGCAGGGTTACCAAAGGTGAATTTGAAAGGGAGGAGCATTACTGACATAGTAGAGATTCTCAAACATTAGTTTACATAAGAAAT